TTATCTCCCTGAGCCTTTCCATTAATTACATTAAGCTTCCCCTGTCTGCTGAAGGATTTTCTGTAATGCTGATCAGCCTGCCGTATCCACTAACATTCTGCCAACCTGATCATTAGCATGAGACCTCGCTCTGATACTACACATGAACTGTTTTGTGTGTGAAGTGGGGTGGCGTAGAGAGCTAAGAATGGGCCAAAGTGTCTCCACTTTGGATCTTCTCCCAGCTATGCAATGCAACCTATCCCTGCTTCAGTCCATCGCCACCTCCCTGCCTCCCCCCCCCCCATCTGTGGCCTGGCAATAACAGCTGCCTACATGGTTGGTACATGAACATGTGAAGCTAACTTATACCAAAACAGACCATGGGTCCATCAAAGTCAGTATTGTCTACTCAGACTGGCAGCAGCTGTCCAGGGTCTTAGGCGGAGGTGTTCCCCATCACCTACCACCTGATCCTTTTAGCTGGAGATGCTGGGGATTAAACCTGGGGTCTTCTGCATGCCAAGCAGGTGCTCTACCCCTGAGTCACAGCCCTCTTCCTAAAGGACTTCATTAATCCATGCAACATTTTGTGCCACAAAGGAAATACTCATCCAATTGGCTTCAATGCTAAATTGGTCATTTGTCGAATAATGTGGAAGAAATTCCTCAGCGGCTTTGCTCATTTGGGTCTTGTTCTGCCTCTTCCAGGTGTAAGTGTTAAGAAAGGGCAGGATGTCATGAATATCTTTGCTCCTGTCGTGATTTCGGATGCTGGGATCTTCAACACCTACAAGCGGCTCTTGCCAGAGAACTTGCAAGCTTTGCCAGGTAAGAGGCCACAGGACAGCTGGTGTTTCTACACTGTAGAGATATGGAAGGTCTGCAGGCTGTGTGGACTCCGGGATCTTTCAGACATACACCGAAGGTTTTCAAACCTCAAACCATGGAGTACAAATATGATGCACCTACTAAATTGCCAGAAACTCCCATCATCACTGTTTAAATGATACTGATCTTAAAGACTGTAAGAACCCAATAATCTGCATGCCCCTTAAAAATATCTTGTCACGATTCAACTGCTTAACATTTGCAGGTCTTAGCACTATACCTGGCAAGAGTATATCACCTACCAGAAACAGTTAATTTTAAACACCTTTCTGTTGGTCCATCTAGCCATGTTTTTAATTGATTTAGCAAAACTCTTTACAGCAGTCATCTTCTGAACCGCCTTTGCAAACCTTTTCCTCATTTGAAATATGGGTGTGCAGAGTTTCCAGTAATTCTCTCCATCACGCCACAGACAAAAAACAGTGCTGCCGACTCCTAATTCCAGTTAAGTCCTGGGTTCACGTTAGCTGCCTCAGACACAGGATTTCTCTACAAGCTCTTATTCGTCTGATAATCTAGTCTGACCCTTACGACCCCTAAGCCCCTTCGTTGTATCACTGAATTCTTCTAGACAGGCCCATGTGGCCTTATGGTCTTTGGCCTGCATTCTTCTGAGCATTAATTTGGTTGTACTGAAGCACTGTCTTGCCGTTTAATTTAAGCTTGGATCACTCTAAAGGGCAGATTGCTCTACAGAATAGGTTCCATCTTGCCAAACTAACATATCGTGACAAAAATTTGACACCAATCCTCAATTAAAAGCTGAATAGAGAATGGAGCCCCACATGATACCACAACAAGCCTGAGCTCTAAATTATTTCCTGGTGATAGGTCCTTATAATTAACATGTTTTGCCAACTTCCCAGAATTCTTTGCTGCAGATTATGAGGTCTCATACCTACAATAGTTGGCCTTTGGGTACCTTTGTAAAAATGAATGTTGGAGGCCGAAACCTTCCAAAGCTGCAAGGAACTATGGATCTGAAGCCAGAAGAAATCAAATATTTTGCTGCATGCAGTTGTTCAATTAAAGCTTACAAAAGTCCATGAAGCCAAATAGTGACTTGAGAGTAATTTGGACATAAATGTATCTGTGCAGACCACAGCAGAGCAGAGAGAACAGTGACTTAGGCATGTCCTTGGATAGAGCAGCTATTTGGGGGGGTTGGCTTGAGTGTGGAGCTGAAAGCATGCTCATGGGAATGACAGCTGACTCATAGTAGTGTCTGTTGACTTACAAAGTCGAACGTTATCGCTTCCATGGCATTGTCTATTTTATATTTTGTACTCAACTTTTTAGCCAAAACTATAAACCACTTTGGGAAACAATAGTTAAAATAAACCACACAGAGACAATGTAGTAGAGCAACATAGTTCAGTGTGTATTGTGTACTCTTCTGGCAACTGGTAACAGTTTCCAAGTTCCAGAGTCTTTCTTCTTGAGGGGATGGGGCAGGGAGTAGTGAATATGCCAACCTAGGAGTCACCCAACTGCAGACGACTACTGTCTGAATTGTCTGTGTTATTGGACAACTATCTAACTGAGAATATCCTTCTCTCTTCAAATCCACAATAACTAATATGTATCTTTGAGTTCAAAGGCATGTGAGTTTCTTCAGTGAACTAATGTGACATAGAGGCTAGAAAGTTGGAACTGGAATTGGGAGTTGCAAGTTTGCATCTGGAACTTTCTGGGTATTCTTGGGTGAGTTACTGGCCCGGTGACCGGTCCACACATCTGTCGAGCCATTGCTACAGTCTGTGTGGTGGAGGAAATAGCACAATCCCCTCGCTCTTTGTGATGGGTGTGTAGGGGGCACTTACAAGTGGACTCATGGTCCCTACTCCACCCAAACCTGGAACACAAACAAGACGCTGTGTAAGCCCATGAGATGACTTTGCTATTATGAGGATCTAGGTTGCCTTGAAAGGAAGGCGAGATATAACTGAGACCAATAATCCAAGGATAGAGTTGGAAGCCAACATTTGAATGTTAGCCATAGGTCTGTAGAGGGTTCTTTTCATTTCTACTGATGTAAGAGACTCAGGCTGCAATCCTGTGTACCGTTTTCCTGGGAGCAACTGTTGCTTCACTGACCATAATGAGCTTACAGATGAGTAAACATTGGATGGCCATTTCAGAGGGGTACCCGTGTTGGTCTGGAGTGGAAGAGCAAGATGCCAGTCCAGTAACACCTTAAAAACTAACATGACTTCCAAAGCTAGGGGTGTGCAGCAAAAAAAACAACACCAGTTTTTTTTGGCCCCAGATGTATTGAAACTGAAAAATATTGCTGTTGCTGGTTTCCTGGGTTCCAAATACTGGTATGGTATCAGGACCTGGGGTTTTTCCCCTGAGTTTTCTGTGTTTTTAGCTCCATTATTCCCTATGGGGAATCTTTCCGGGGTGGGAGGATGCTGGGGATATGTTTTTAAAGGCACTGAAACTAAAATTACGGGAAACTCCTGGTGCCTGTCCTTTAAATAACCTCTAAATTTCAAGTCAAATTTTACCAAGGGGTCCAAACAATACCAAGTGGTTCATTGTTTCCTAGGAAGGAGAAAACCCCCCACAAGAACTATAAAACCTGAGAATCTCTCCCCATAGGTGGGCAATTGCAAGCTACTGCCAAGCCCAACCAATGTAAAACTTGAGAATCTGTATCTATGTAAAACCTAAGAATATGAAACTATGTAAAACACAAAAATCTCCACAACAATCTGCTAAAAAAAGTGAAGCCAATGAAAACTAACTCCTGTAAAGAACCAACTTTTAAAAAATAACAAAAACACCTGAAACAGACAGAATCTTCCTCAAAGCAGCTTGGTAAGCTGATAAAAAGCCCCACAAACTTGGGGGAGGGGGACAGTCCTGGGAGCCCTCAAAAGCCAGCTCCCAATATTCCCCCATTAATCCTGAATCTTTCTGGGATTTTTGGGGAGCCATTTCTGGTATCCTGAAGAATCCCAGACATATTTGGGAGACTTGATTATACAAAACCTGTGCAGGAAAAATAAGTTATTTTTAATATATATCCGACTCAGTTATATTTGAGCGTGCATCCCTAGTCAAGGCTCCCTTGGTCGCATATGAATCCTACCAATCCTATGCAGAGTTAAATCAGTGAACCTAGAACGGTAAAACTCTTCCTAGGATGCGTTTTCAGTTTATCAGTCCATGGACTTCTCCAGTGCCCCACTCCTCCTAAAACTTACTGGGCTTTGCTCCACTAGTACATACTTGAAGTATCAAGTTACACACAAGCATTTCATGAGATTTGTAGCATTACTTTCCTTGAAAGAGAGACACTGGGGTATTGCCAAGACTCTTGGGAGTGGTAAATGAGACGCTCTTTGCAAAACAATCCTGATGGGAAGAGAAGTGGTTGTCCGGCATGATCTCTGTTGCATCTGTACTTGTGTACAGATGTGGTGAAGGGTAGAACAGCAAGCAGTGTGTGGATGGGGCACGGGCACACTGTCCCCTCCTGTTCCTGTGCTATTTGCTGCTGCCGCCATGGTGGGGGCATGCCTTAGTAGCTGTGTGAAGGAGAGCTTTCAGCCAGAGCTTATCCAGGCAGGCGGCTTCCTGTTCTCGCTGGCCTCATTAGTCTTCATAGGCCTTGAGGCAAAGAGTCTTGAGAATATGCATGCAAACAAAACACATGTGCATGAAGCTGTGCAAGGCCTGTCTTGGTACATTCTGCAGAACCTTGTTTATGACAAGCAATGAGAGGCCTTGGTTACCTTTCCAGATGAAGTTACCCTTGGCACAGATACTGGAGGTTGGGGTTTGCATGAGAGCATGGATCCATACTGAGCTCCAGGTTAACTTTTAAGGGTTTGGAGACTTGCTGAAGTCATTGTGGTCAACTGGAGAGGATGGGGAAACCTGAACTCCTGTTGGGAGAACTGCATTTACCCTCAGATAGATTCCCTTTCAAAGAGCTATTCCAGGAACTATCCCTTTCCCATGAAATAAATTATTCTGATTGAAGTGGAGTTGGAATTGAAGCATGAGAGTCCCTCATTCCTGTGGAAGCAGGGGGAGAATATTCTGAATGACAAGATGGTGGTTTCAGACATTAAGGTGAAACTAGAGCATGGGTCTCTGAATATATCAGGAGTGGAAAAAGTGAATTATCTGAAAGGGGAACTTGCACATTTCTGCTTTGTGAGAGATGCTCGAGTTTCCCTTTATGCCAGGAGTCCACGACGTGGTGTCTATGGGCACCATGATGCCCACCAATATCTTTCCTGGCACCCACCGAGTGTTTTTTAAAAGTGGGTGGGGCCAGGTGGGGCTTTTGCCCAGCAAGGTTTCTGATTGGTCATTGGAGATTTGATTGGCTGTGCACATTTTTAAAAACATTGCTTTGGCAGCAGCTGTTACCACAGTGCAAGGGTCTTCACTGTGTAACTGATTTTGCAGCAGCTGGTTTGTGGCTGTGCCTACCACAGTGTGTCAGAATTCTGAAGGTGCCCACAGGCTCAAAATGTTTGGGGACCCCTACTTTATGCATTAGCCTGACACCTAATAGATTACCATCTCCACAGTGAGATCCTGCTTTGGAGGCCTGACTAGGTGGTCCTTCCTTTCTACAGGAGGGTGTCTACCATAGCCTGGGTTGGCACCATCTTTGGCATTCCCTTTCCAGAGAAATTCAGATTGCATTGACCTCATCTCTCAGGCCATTTAGGAGACAAAAAGGAAGTTTCCTGTTCTCCCAAGCATTTTGACTGGCAACTTGCTTTACTACTCCTTACTTTTAAGCTGCTTTGAATCCCCCTCTTTGTGTTTATCAGTTGCAATGTTTTCCGTCTGCCTGACTCAAGAAATATATTTTGCTCCAAATTTGCTGCCTTGCTTGCAGTGCAAGGTGGCAATGTTTTGGATCTGCGTTTTACTTAAGGCCTTCTGTGCAGCCCAGAGACGCTTGTGGTTTGGTGTTGGTTTTTTTTAAGTGTCATCTCCCCTCCTGCAGGCATTCAGAGCCAGCTGTCCATGGTGCGACATGGCATCGGAGGGTTCACTGTCTTCATGGGACTCAGAGGCTCCAAGGAGGAGTTGGGACTGGAAGCCAAAAACTATTACGTCTACCCACGGAACAACCTTGATGAAGCGTAAGTTTTGCTTTTGTAGCCGAGAATGCTTTCTCTTGCTGGCTGAGCTTTTGAGGAGGTCTGCAGTAGGATCCTGCCGGCTTTTTAAATAAGGAAAACCAAAGACAGATCACGGGATAAGTGAGTAGAAAATAGTCAAAGACCACCATGATAT